TTTTATTTGACAAAAATATTTATTGCCACAAATTATTTTTAAAAAATTGTTTTTAATTTTTTTTAATTTCTGAATTTCAAATTTTTTTTATAATAATTTATTTAAAAAAGAAATTCTACAAAAAAAAACATCTGTTTTTTTCCATAATGAAAGTAAAAAAATTTCCATAAATATATCATTTATAAATTTTTAAATATCCATTTCGAATTTTACTTTTTACTGATAAGTTAGAACACTGTCAAAACAAAACTACCAAAATTAGAATAAGGAAAAATTAAATAAATTTATTTTTTAATTTAATAAAAAAATAATTTTAATATTTACTTAATAATTAACTTAATTTTTATTGTAATTTTTATTAATTTTCACCTAAAACATTTATAACTGTCAATTTTAGAGTCAGGGCTGTACGGTTACACCTCCCCGCAAAAGGGCCTCGCTGGAAACTGGTCCATTATAATACCGATCAGGCCAACGTAACCGTTGAATGGGACTGTTGTACAGTTTGACCGAGTACGAGGACAGATTGACATTGCGTTTACACTTGTTCAGTTCGTCAATTAAAAAAAAATTCTAAATATTTTCAGATGTTTTGGGTGACTTAATTAATGAATTAACTTTGATAAATTTTGAAAAAATATCAAAAGAATCCTTATCCTGGCTATTAACCAGCCAGGATGAGGACGAGATGTCGATTACTCATTGACAGACAGAACCTGTAATACATAAGCCGCTTGGAGCTATCACTTAGATCACAGCATTTTGCCTGCCAACTCCTCAACTAGTTTACGAAGCTGCATTACACTTCTTAGAAGAGGATCATCTCCCCATCTCAGGCGATCCACCTGGTAACCTGAATCCTCCATTCCACGAAGCTGCCCTCTTGTTCTGCGCTGTAGCAGCGCCGAGATCGAAACCGAGAAGGTTTGGATCACGTTGAACCCGAGAGATTTAGTCCCCAGGTGGTTACCCTTGACGAGCCTTTAGGCTTCCAACATGACTTCGTTGGAGAACCCGAAAGATAGACAATGCCATTTGTTATATATTGAAACTACTCTATTAACGACCGCTTGCGAGAATCTTCGATTGAAACGCCATCTTCTTTTCGTGAAGAGTAATTAGAAAAGAGGACCGTGCACGAACTGTAGAGACAGCACATCTGCTCGCAAGTGGCGCGCACTGATGTTTAATAAATGCAAAAAACGGACTTACGGTATAATTACAAGAATTAACGCTTTTTTTTTTAATTAATAATGGAAATATTAATAAAATGTGCTTTTTGATCAGTATTAATCGGTCGTATTCAAAGCAAGAATAATTCAGAAGGGTAAAAAAAAAATTTAAGGCCAAGTATGTTAAATATAACGGAAGAAATTTAATATACTAAAGTGAGCCGACGTTTTTAATTTTTTTAATAATTTAATTAGAACAAAAAAATATTTTTTTAAAATTGCGCACTTAGAGTTTTTTACAAATGAAAATTTGTTTTTATTTTTTTGTAATTATTTTCTTAATGAAAAAAAATTTTTCAATTTTTTTTATTGAAAAAATGATTAAAAAAAATATTTTAAAAATAATTTCATTTTAAAAAAACTTTAAGTTTGTTCTAATTTAATAAATAAAAAAATAATAAAATTAAAAACGTCGGCTAACTTTTGTATTATTTAAAATTAGCAATCAGTCGGTTATTCTTTAATTTTATTTGACAAAAATATTTATTGCCACAAATTATTTTTAAAAAATTGTTTTTAATTTTTTTTAATTTCTGAATTTCAAATTTTTTTTATAATAATTTATTTAAAAAAGAAATTCTACAAAAAAAAACATCTGTTTTTTTCCATAATGAAAGTAAAAAAATTTCCATAAATATATCATTTATAAATTTTTAAATATCCATTTCGAATTTTACTTTTTACTGATAAGTTAGAACACTGTCAAAACAAAACTACCAAAATTAGAATAAGGAAAAATTAAATAAATTTATTTTTTAATTTAATAAATAAATAATTTTAATATTTACTTAATAATTTTACAAAAAATAAAATATTAATAATAAAAATAATAATAATAATAACAAACAGTATGAAGTAGTCTACAGGAAATGTATGTTCGATACATCGATATTTCTAACCACATTATTTAACACAAATGGCGACTCACGGCAAGACACGCTGCTTTTAATAACCCGCATTCGCTGGTCAATAGTTCCAGTGTATTAAATATAACCATAAATTAGAGTAATTGTTTTATATAAACAACGACTCGCTCCAGAGATCAATTGCATAAGGTTGATCTTTCGCGTTGATAGATAAGCTTTATTTATTATCTTATTTTTAATCTTATAATAAAATTACGATGGGTAACGTCGCGGCAGCTTCAGCACCTCCTCCACCGCCAATCTCGGTCCTCGCACCACCCGAAATTCCTAAGGATTCCCTAAGTTCCGTAAGTGTTTCCGAAGATGACCAAAAATTACAAAACCCCGGTACTGTTGAAGAACTTCACAAACTTTGCAAAGGTAAGTCATTTTTGTGCTCCAATTATTGCCGATTCCTTTTTTCTCACTGGTAATTATTACTTAGAATAAAAAAGTTTTTATTTAATTAGTTTATTTTTTAATCCACCAAGTAGTGGTGACTTTCATCTTCATCGAATTTGTCCACTGATTATTTTATTTTTTTTATTACAGATGTGATGCCGGTTAACTTTGAAGGTGCTAAGCTGATGATCAGCAAAACACTTAGTAATCACTTCCAAGTATCACACACGTTATCTATGAGTTCTGTCGTCAAGTCTGGATACAAGTAATTATTTATTTTAGATTTTTACTCTCGGAGTAAGGGAATAATCTATATTATTAAAAGAATCAGCAAAATTTTGTCACCAGTTTATTGGTATGATAAAATGGGTTTTTATGGTTGAATTTGGTATCGTTGGAAAAATCTTAACTTTAATTTGTGCCTTTTCAAGGTTTCATATCATTCTCACCAATAGTCAATTTATGATAATAAGTATTTGGGCTGCATTTGAAAATGCTCTATCTCTAGACGTATAATTAAGAAATGACCTTGTATCTTGTAAAATATTGACATTTTTAAAGATATAAGCTCATCCCGATGTTACACTCATCAAGACCTTTCATTTGAGTACCCACATCAATTTTTCATATATTTTATATATTTATATATTTCACAAATACCATATATATCTATAAAATATATGAAAAATGTCATGTAGGTACTCAAGTGAAAGGTCTCGATGAGTGTAACATCAAAATGAATTTATATCTTTAAAAATATCAATAATTAAGAAATGACCTTGTATTTTGTGAAATATTTACATTTTTAAAGATATAAGCTCATCCTGACATTATACTCATCAAGACCTTTCATTTGAGTACCCACATCAATTTTTCATACATTTTATATTTTATATATTTATATATATGTATATATGAAAAATATATCAAAATGCCATGTGGGTACTCAAATGAAAGCTCTTGATGAGCGTAACATCGGGATGAGTTTATATCTTTAAAAACGCCAATAGTTAAAAAATTACAGTACAATTTTACAAAAGTCATTATTTAACAAAACAATATTTTGTTTATTTTAAATATTAAATTTTTTATCAATGAATTATTTAAACAATTAATCAATGAGACTATTATTTACAGATTCGGAGCAACGTATGTTGGAACAAGCCAAATTTCACCAACAGAAGCTTACCCAGTAATCCTAGGTGACATTGAACCCAGTGGAAATATGAATGCTAATTTGGTGCATCAATTTAACCAGCACATAAAAACGAAAGTCGCTACCCAAATACAAAGAAGTAAATTCACAGCTATGCAAATGACAACGGATTATCGCGGCGATACATTCACATCATCACTCACAGTTGCTAATCCTGATATTCTCAATGGCTCTGGAGTCATGGTTGCTCATTATTTACAAAACGTAACACCTAAGCTCGCTCTTGGTGGTGAGCTTGCTTACCAACGTGGCTACGGTATACCTGGTGGTTCCATTACTGTTGGTTCTCTGGTTGGTCGGTACTCTATCGCCGAGTCTACTGTTAGTGCCAGTGTTGGTAAGTTTAATAATAACAATTATTGGTTTATTTTTTAATGAATTATTTTATTTAAATTTAAATTTAAATTCGTCATTTTTATTTTCAGGATTAGCTAGTTGTCATTTATGTTATCATCATCGTGCCAGTCCGACATTACAAATAGGTGTTGAATTAGAAGTTAATGGAAGAATACAGGAATCAACAGCAACTATTGCGTATCAAGTTGACTTACCAAAGGCGGATATTGTTTTTAAAGGTAAATTATTATTTATTTCCTTATTATTTATTATTAATTAATATAAATAATTTTAAATTAGCAACCAAATCTTGAGATTGTAGAATTAAATTTTTTTTTTATTATTTAAAAGGACCAAATAATTTTTTTCAATAGTTTATTTAATTCTTAACTTATTAATACAAATAGTAATTAAAAAATTTTTGATAAATAAGTATTTAGGCTTTATTTGAAGATTATCTCTAGATATATAATTAAGTATCTTGTGAACTATTGACATTTTTGAAGATATAAGCTCATCCTGACATTATACTCATCGAGACCTTTCATTTGAGTACCCACATGGAATTTTTCATATATTTTATATATTTATATATATTATATATGTATATATAAAAAATATATCAAAAATGCATGTGGGTACTCAAATGAAAGCTCTTGATAAGTGTAACATCAGTATGAGCTTATATCTTTAAAATATATATTATATATATGAAAAATTTAAGAAATGACCTTGTGTCTTATGAACCATTGAAAAATGCATGTGGGTACTCAAATGAAAGCTCTTGATAAGTGTAACATCAGTATGAGCTTATATCTTTAAAATATATATTATATATATGAAAAATTTAAGAAATGACCTTGTGTCTTATGAACCATTGACATTTTTAAAGATATAAGCTTATCCTGATGTTACACTCATCAAGAGCTTTCATTTGAGTACCCACATGCATTTTTGATATATTTTTCATATATACATATATATAATATATATAAATATATAAAATATATGAAAAATTGATGTGGGTACTCAAATGAAAGGTCTTGATGAGTGTAACATCGGGATGAGTTTATATCTTTAAAAACGTCAATAGTTAAAAAAGTACAGTGCAATTTAACAATAGTCATTGTTTAATAAAGCAAAATTTTATTTATTTATAGTTCACAAGTCACGGCAGTTACATAGTGACTGCAAGGTTGCTAGTATATAATTACTTTATTATTATAAAATGTTACACTAAAAAAAAAAATTTTTTGAAGATTTTTTTCACCTTGATTCAAGATAATCTTCAAAATCATTTTTTAGTTTAAAAATTTTTCTTTAAAATCAAATTAATTTTTTTTACTAAATAAATTATAACTAATTTCTTGCTAAGACACAAAAATTGATTTTATTTTAATATTGTGTAATTTTTTTCGGCTAAAATTAAAAAAATTAATTTGTCTTAGAGTAAAGATCTTGACTTTTTAGATAAGTTAATCTTTATTAAGATTAATAATAATCTCTCGAATTTAGTGGGTTAATGAACTCAATTTTTAAAGATATTTTATTAAAAGCTATTTAATTAAAATTACTAATTAAATAATATTTTTTAGGGAGTGTTGATTCAAACTGGACAGTTGGTGCAGTACTTGAGAAAAAGTTACAACCATTACCTTTTTCATTTGCACTGAGTGGTCTTCTTAATCACACCAAAGGGCATTTCCAACTAGGATGCGGTCTGGTCATTGGTTAAAAAATATTAAACAACAAAAATAAACAAAATACTATTTTGTTTCAATCAAATAACTATTATTACAATTAATATTAATGTGAAATAAAAAAAAAAATAGATGCATTGATGATGCGATATCAGTTTTTATCGAGGCTACATGACACAACACGTAGTTTTATCGGTCAAACTATATAAATAATGAACATAATTAAATAAACGATGCATTAAATTATAGAGCAAATGAAGTTTTGTCCGCTAATTGTGAATAGTTACATATTAATTTTTAAATGTATGATAGTATTTCATTACTGGTTTTTTTTGCATTACTATTTAACGCAATATTAGTTAAAATTACTATACTGTGTTATGACTTATGATACATTTTGTTACCACCAGGTTGTGTGTATTTTTTGTATTCATAGATATATTACATTTTTAGCTTTTTTTTTTGCCAATCAAATTCTAGATTTATTAGTCTTACTGTATTGTTTATTATTTACATAGTAAATGATACTTAAATGCATTTATAAAAATTATATGAATGGATATATTGAATGGTTTAATGTTAAAAAAAATTTTATGGTGTTTTTTATTTTACCTGTCATTTATTTTTAATTTATTAATTTTGCTGAAAAATTAATCGGGTATTTTGATTTTTAATTTTATTAAGTATTTTAAAAAATTTGATGATTATTATTATTATTATTATTATTATTATTTTGTCTCCAGGATAGTCATATGATAAAATCGGTTTTTTTTTAGTGAAATTTAGTATCATTGCAAAGGTCTTGATTTGAATTTGTGCCTTTTCAAGGTTTCATATTATTTTCACCAATAGTCAATTTATGATGATAAGTATTTAGGTTGCATTCAACAATGCTTTATCTCTAGATACATAATTAAGAAATGACCTTGTATCTTGTAAAATATTGACATTTTTAAAGATATAAGCTCATCCCGATGTTACACTCATCAAAACCTTTCATTTGAGTACCCACATCAATTTTTCATATATTTTATATATTTATATATTTTACAAATACCATATATATGAAATATATGAAAAATTCCATGTGGGTACTCAAATGAAAGGTCTCGATGAGTGTAACATCAAAATGAGTTTATATCTTAAAAAATGTCAATAATTAAGAAATGACCTTGTATCTTGTGAACTATTGAGAATTTTAAAGATATAAGCTCATCCCGATGTTACACTCATTGGGACCTTTCATTTGAGTACCCACATCAATTTTTCATATATTTTATATATTTATATATTTCACAAATACCTTATGTATAAAATATATGAAAAATGTCATGTAGGTACTCAAATGAAAGGTCTCGATGAGTGTATCATCGAGATGAGCTTACATCTTAAAAATCGTCAATAGTTAAGAAAGTACAGTGCGATTTAACAAAAGTCATCATTTAATAACGCAAAATTTTCACCAAAATTCTTGCTTATAAATTTAATAATTTTTTATCAATTCATAACTTAAAAATTCTAAATACTATTAATTTTTCTTAATTACTTTATGAAGTATAGTTTATTGATTTATATCAAGTATCAATTTTTTTGAGTTACTAAACTAATATGTTTAAAAAAAATGTATAGTCTTCACATTTATTTCATTTAATTAATTTTCCGCGAGTTCTTAATTAATGCAAACAATTTTGTCAATTTTATCATTATAATTAAATATTTTCTATCAATTAAAATAATATTTATTACAATTTTCAGTAAATAAAATTTGAAAAATTTTTAAAGTAAATACAAAGAATTGAAATGAATTTAAAAAGAAGAAAAATTATTGAATAGAATTAAGAAATAATGAACAACTCATACTTAACAAAAAGATTTAAAAAGTTAGTACTGAGGGAAAAACAATAAAAATCAGCATAAAACCATACATTTGTGTGCTAAATAAAATAACACAGCAAGCAAAGAGCAAGACGGTAGTTTCAGGTGATTTTAACGCTCATACAATACGCCAGCGTGACTTTTCGCGCAACTCCGGCTTCGTGTACCCAGAAACATATTGCATATTACATACTGCACCGTACATACTTCAATACGCACCGTACAATAGTAAACATTCTGTATTATTTTTTTTCTTCACCATAAACTATAACCTCGTATTATACACTCGGTAAATAAATTTCTCTCGGTAATACCGTAACTCAATTGAATATGAATGAAATAAAAGCGTTTTACTTTAAAAAAAAAAATTATTTCTTCTGCATAAAATACTCTAAGAAGAAATAAAACCGCCAGATTCATCAATGAAAAATATAATAATAATTTAACCAATTGATTATGATCATTTAGATGTTTTGAAACAAGATCTTAATCCATTGTTTACTTCCAAACAATTCGGCTCAGCTCTACACATTATTATTATTATTATTATTTTTATTATGTTAATGTATATAGTAACTCTCTACGTGATTCATTCGTCTTAATAATAATATATAATGTGTATTAAAATAAACAAACTCGCACTTTCCTTCTTTTGTAAACATACTTATTCATAAATCATGTATGTATGTTTTTTTCTTTCTGCTGCTCAAGACAAAAGACACTTTAGAGTTTCCGTAAAGACCCTTATATAGTTAAACATTTACTGTTGATGATTCATTTGAATAAGTAAGGAATGTAAGAAAAATTTTGATACTTAAGCTAGCTTATATTTAATTGTTTTTTTTTATTGTTTAAAAATATTTTAATAATTTATTCAAAGAATTTTTTTTTATCCCGCGAATATTCTTCTATATTCTTATAAAAAATTTTAATAAAAAAAAAAAATTGGGTACATTAATTTACAAATTGTACTTTGTTTTTTTTTTTAGAGTTTTATTTTTAATTAAAAAAAAGAAGAAATGTATAAATAAATTTTTAAACCATTGCTATTTTTTGGCATTATTTGACAAATTTTTCTTTTTCATTCCGACATGAGACCGGCTACAATAGCTAGATTAATAAATAAATCTTCTTCAGAAGCTTTAAAAAATGTCGTAGGGTAAAATCAATCCCTTGTGACCCATCAGGGTTAGCGAAATTAATGACTTCATTAAAAATCAGGAATTGGCAACTCTAAAAAGATTTTGTCACTTAAAAAAAATAAATAAAATAAAATAAAAAATTTTATTGGATGAAATTAAAGCCATCCCCAAAAATCAGGACTAATGGCAACCACTAAACCACTTAAAAAAAAAAATAAAATTAAAAAATTTTTTATAATTTTTCTTATTAAAAAAAAGTTTGTCCGTCAAATTTATAAAAAATTTGATTCATAAATAGAAAATACTTGAATATAAATATTTTTAACAAAATATACTTGAAATCAAGCTCTAAAAATTACAATAAATGCTGCAATACTAAAAAAAAATTAGGTATAAAAATTTTGCATATGTGTTACTGTATTTTAAAATTACTTAGCCGAAAATTGACTAAGTAGCTTAAAAAAAAATTAATATTTTTTCTATGAAAAGTTTCTTCTACTACAAAATTGATGTATAAATATTTATTTATTTATTGAACTGTACTCCCACTCCTAGGTCACGAGTGTGAGTCTATTCGACACATGCCCCTCTCAATTCTAGCATATTCGCAATTTTCATTGCCCTCAAACTCTTAGCAATTGGTTGTTTCTTTTTCTTGCTGCATTTACTCACTCACTTACTCACAACACAACATATATATATATATTATTATTATTATTATTATTATTATTATAGCACACATACATTATTATGACACAGACATTTACACAGTGAGGAGTTCGCTCGCTCCCTTACTCACATCATGCACGCGCTTACTCAGTTGCATATTATTCTTAACGTAAGTGAAGTAACTAAACCAAGTCTTTAGTGGTTTCTGCACGGCACTAGTGTCGTATGCATAGAGTAGTACTCATATCGTATAGTGAGTAGTGCAGTGCAATGCAATATTATACCCAGTGTAGTTATTTTACATTATAGAACCAAATCCTTTCATACATTCAATTACATACATTCCACAGTAAAATAAAATATAAATAAAAAGCTCCCGCCGTTTTATTAATTTTCATTTTTTTTATTCGTATGACCGCGGACATTTATTTCTTCTCTACGCCTATCCAAATTATTACCTCCAAATTATTTACACAGTTGCTTACAATTATTCTTACTATTAGTACAAACATTCATCTATTTATTCCTCGCGAGTTATTGTTTTATAAGCAAATAAATCGAGTGTAAATAAATTTTTATAAAAATAATCTACAAGTGGATTTTATTTGAAAATTTAAATTAAAATGAAGAGACGAAGATGCAAAGACAATCTCACGCCAGATGTCACCAAGTATCAAGTCAAAGAATTTGGTAATTTATTTTATTTGTTTTAAAAAATCCGCGCTTTTAAGTGACAAAATTGGGGGGGGGGGGTTTTTTTTTTATTGATTATTGTTATTAATTAACTCACTGGCCCGGTGGTCCGCGACTTACTGGAGACCAGGGGCCGTTTGTCGTCGATGTATATATGTTGGATATCAATAGTGATAACGCCGCCCCTGTACATGAGCGATAAACACATAACTTTATAATGTCATTTGTAATTTTATTGTCCATATTTTTATTTTATGGTTTTAATTTTTTATTTTTATTATTTTGGAAATTTTTCTATATTTTTTATAGTTTTTTGAAGGGCTAGTATAGTTACTGAGGAATTGTTTGGGACAATGAAATAAATATGAGTTTTTTTTTTTATAGAAGAATTCAAGAAAGTTTTTCTTAATAAGGAAGTTTATTGGATAAAATTTTTAGAAAATTTGAGTGAATCTTTACGCAGAGATTTAATTAGAAATTTATTAAAGGCCTTATTTTTTTTTTATCAATTTTTATAAACGAGAAATTCTTAAATTTATAGTAAAATTATAAAAAAATTTTTTTTTCATCAATTTAAATAGTTTATTTATTTATTTATTTCTTTAAAAAAGACCCAACAGCCAATGGCCATTAACAGGGTCACATAAGTATACAGT